GCAGTCAGTCCAAGATAAAAGCATAATACACTCACTCAACTAATAATATTGTGATAATACCGAAAACACCGAAAACATGACACTCGCGCGTAACGTCAAGATCAAGATGTTTCCGTACGGATTATTTGTTGCGCCCTGTCTCTTTCCGTCTCTACATGCTCCTTTTCATCAGGTATTATTGAATGCGTGCATCATCAACGGGACTATTCAGGTCCTGCAAGGACGAAAGCACGACATCATTGAAAGTTTAGTTCAACTTCATGATAAGATTCGAATCATGCACATTTTGAATTTTTTTAAGAAAGTGTCCATCGTTCACGCCATCTATCATCGAATATGAGAACTCCACGTTCCGAACTCCTATTCAATCGTTTATATCGGGAGCTATTCTGACGAAACAATTGAAGAGTGGGCACACCAGAGGAATTCTAAACATCACAATGATGAGGGCTAACATTTTCACTCACTTCCACCAGTTAGCGCTACTAGAACATGAGGTCTATGACAATGTCAAAAATCCAAGATTATGACGGAAAGCCCTAGATAATATGGCCTGTTTCATCGAAAAAAATGATGTATAAGTTATCAAAAGACTTGAGCAAACCTCTCTACGTTCTCTTACTTTCAATCTTCACGACCAATTCTTATATTGACGGTTAAAGAGATATCGTAGGAAGATGTCAAATGACACTGAAATAGTATATTCATCAGTTCTATATCAACCTCACCTCATGTTTCAGTGGCGCCTTTTGGTGGACAATAAATAATGAGTGCTACTTCTACATTGTTACGAGTGAGTTTTGCACAAGGAACTCATCAAATAATTTTGGTCGGCCTTATGCTGGCCCATATTCGCGAAAATCACGAACCAATAGATGGCTCTATTCAACGTCAAATCAACGTCAAATTTCCAACTGTGTATGAACAACAAAAACATTGCGGTATGCATTATTTGCAAATTGGTTATTTCCAAATCATTTTGCAAAATACTGAATAATGAGTTGACTTTTTGAAATACGTACAATGTTTCCAGTATGGAAAAAGTTAATTTTTGTGCAGAGAAATTGCCATTTTGATGTGGACAATGGTGGTATTCATCATTGATATCACACTACAATCCCACAGTTTTCAAACATAAGAAATGATCGGAATGGTCCACTCAACACTTGCATGGACTGGAATGGAACCATACAAGCAATCAGCTATTACAACAATATGGTATGGGTATGAAGAAATAATTGAATTCATCAAGAAATATCACTGGCTCTTATGAAGGAGATAGGATTCTAGTGAAGGGGTTGGAAAAGAAGATATGGTTGGAGAGGCTGCTCAGAATGAACAATATCATCGATTTACATAAACAAGGATCTCCAGCAATTGAGGACTTCAAGTTATTCTCAAGATCGAATCATTGCAACCAACATTTATACAATGATTCTAAAATTCAAATGTATTTTATATTATTATAAGGTAGGTACTGGTTTCTTCATTGTAAACAATAAAAGTTCATGCAATAATTCGAGTCTTTTCATCAGGGAGAAATGAGGTTCTGGAATATGCACTCCAACAAATGAATTATTTTCAAATAAAACACATATTTATGAAATTCAAAACAATGGTCGCCATATTTGTTGTTCATACTCGCAAGACTTGTACAGTTAGCCACCAGAGGCCGCACACTTCGTGATTTTCGCGAATAGCTGTGAACTTCCTCTGAACAATAATGGGCCAGTACCAATAGGAGACTCTGGCCGTTATCCCAAACAGCACATGACATCCATTGGACGTCCATTTCAATTCCAAACGTCCATGGATATTGAATGGACATCAAATGTACGTACACACATGGATATTCATTAGATGCTTCAAATTGAATGTACAGTGGGCGTCCACTCAATGTCCAAACACGCATGTACGTATAATGTACATTCATTATACTTATGAGATAGATGTACAATGTATGTGTCAAAATAAACGTCCGTTGGACATTCATTTTATGTCAACTCAAGGACTAAAACTCTCGTTGACATTTGATCAACATTCATTACAGAGACGGACGTACATTGGATGATACAAATTAAACTAACATTGGATGTCCATTTAACGACCATTCTGAGTTCAAGCGTTCATGGATGAAGAAAGAACATTAAATTTACATGTATATAAATAATTGTTCAAAGTTAATGTCTGTATGAAATCATTTCAAATCTGAAGGTTAAATGAACGTACATTGTACGTTCAGAGATGGACGTAACGTAAGACTATTGATTTTTCAGTCACGTGAAGGGGAGGCAGAAGGTCAGATCGGTCGGTAGAGTAGCGTCGTGATTCTGATGCCATTTTTAGTTGGTAAATGACCGTGAACATGATGTGTTGTGTTTGTGATGAATTGTGGAATGCAGAATATTTAGGACCAGATCATTCAAAGTATGTATGAAAGCATGCATGTTCGAATGTGACTTCATATATTATCTAATATAGTTATGATCTTATTCTTCATCTTCCTACAGGTTGTTATTTATTTTCAATGAACGGTCCGAAACAAGCAGTACCTAAGTATATAGCAATGAAAATAAGGCTTAATTCACCAGTCAGAGTTAAGCTGAACAGGATTTGGGGTATAGACAATCGATTTCTACCTATAAAGCAACTTATAATATTTCTCGGTTTCTACAGAAACAAGAATTTGAAATGGACTGAAGAAGACATGAATCAACAATATATGTGCAATCGACACCAAATATATATCTCAATAGAAGAAGCTATATTTGCTACCTACTGATTTTTCATCATTTGATTCCCAAAGATTAGCATCCATTATACACCCACATGTACACATCCAATGTACGTCCGAAGTGGTGTCCTCAAGACATCCAATGGACTTTCATTGGACGTTTAACGTCCAATTTGGTACGTCCAATTGATGCTCAGACATATACATCCATTGTGAGTCCAAATATGAACATCCGCAACACTCTTTCATGGGATAATCATGTCAGATCCAAGGCAAAAGCTGCTTCACAAAAACTCGTATTCTTGTTCCGTGCGAAAAGCTACTTTACACCTCAACAACTTCTCATGATCTACAAAGGGCAGATACGGCCTGTTCTAGAATACTGTTCCCACATATGGGGTTCAGCACCAAAACATACGCTGATGCTCTTAGATTCCATCCATAGAAGAGCCATTCGCCTGGTGGGTGACGCCACACTCACTCACTCTTTGACATCATTGAAACACCGTAGAAAGATCGGCGACCTTTCACTTTTCTATCGATACTTCCACGGGAAGTGTTCTTCGGAAATCTCTGCTATCATCCCTTCACTAGCAGTACCAATCAGACGAACTAGACAAGCCCAGTCAGCACATTCTTTCGTTGTCAACCTCGAAAGATGTCGAACAGCACTTTATCAAGACTCCTTCATCCATAGAACGGCTAGGCTCTGGAATTCATTGCCTGTGGAAGTATTCCCAACAACATATAATCTCCAAAAGTTCAAAAAAAATTCCAATACCTACCTCCTGTCCCTATCCTCCCTAGGAACGCACGATGTTCTTTGAACATTATAGGGATTCCCTTTCGTGCGCTCCAAGCGATAAAAAAATCCAGTGTACATCCAAGTTAAAGACATCCATAGTACGTCCAAAGTGGTGTCATCAGGACATCCAGTGGACGTCCATAGGAAGTTAAACGTCCACTCCCATTGGACGTCCTTACAATTCGATGTGGACGTTCATTGTACGTTCATTGTACATACATGTGCTGGGTGGGAATAGGGCCAGTACATGTCTGCCGATACATACAAATTGAAAAATGACGACCACCACGGTATTCGAACCCTGGTCCACCGCTATCACTTGGTTTACAAATCAAACTTATTCCAACTGGGGTACTACACCTTTCTTGATATGATATAAGTGAAAGGAATTCATCAGTGTCTAACTTTTGAATAGAAATATTTCATTGGTAATCATGTCACGCGATAATAGGGTATTTTGCCAACTATTTAATGATATAGCGGTAGGGCCCTCACTATGTCACAACATGGGTTTGGTATTTCTTCCATTTCGATTTATAAGGGGTTTTCTTGGCTTGCGAGAGTTAATATTTGAATAGGCACTCATAGTTCAGGGGTAGCTGAAATAAGCACGATACTATATTCAAACATAACAATATTTATTGAAGCATGGAACATTAAGGGTAGTGATGACAAATATAAATAAACAACAATGAACATACAGAGTGAATAACAACTCATTATGACCACCACGACAAGTTCTTGTCAAGTCAAGAGTAGCCCCAGACCAGACTTCGGAACCCTCACATGCAATATTCATATACATCATTTTATTAGACTTGCACACGTTCCTTGGTCAGTTTTCATAGTTCAATGTCAACGAATGATCTGGTTACCTTCATGTTGATATTACCTCCAATCCCTATCCTTCCTAGGAACGCACGATGTTCTTCGAACATTATAGGGATTCCCTTTCGTGCGCTTCAAGTGATTTTAAAAATTAATAATATATGTGTTCTACTCCTGACAATAATATCATCATCATAACAGAAATATACGGAAGATGAACCAGGATGAGCATCCCAATGAGGCTATGAAAATTATAATGTAGAACTCGTTTCATAGATACATATTCTCTGCTCTTCCGGAATTCCGAAACAAGCAACCTTTCGAAGTTCTGATTTTTTTTATTGAAAATAAAAATATAATCATACTATCCAATTGGCACGGTTCCGGTCAGATTCAAGTTGAACAATTTGAATACGTCATATGATAGGTAGACGATTGTATAGCGTAAGTAAAAACATATTACGAATTGACACTATTGGCCAAGTGCCAGCTGAATTACAGGCAAACGAAAATAATATGCCATACAATGGGCCGACGTTTGACCAGTCGTGCAGTCTGGTCATTGCCAGCAATCTGCCGAACTATCATTCACTGGTCCAGAAGGTGGCCAGAGATTTGATGTTTGCTAAGAAATCATTGTTTGAGAATGTTGGATATAGAGTTGATGATGTGTACGTTCTGAGCAGAACTGGTGGGGTTTCTGAAATCCCATCTCGATGAAATTTGTTTCCACACTCTGTCAGGGTGCAGTCCCATCGGGATTTGGAGAAGGTTCAACCAGTTCGGGACCCATTCTCCAGAAAGGACCTGAAATTGCAAGGAAACAATTGAGGTCCTTCATCAGAAAAACTAGTACACTACAAAACAATAATAATTTTCATTGTGGATATTATGAATAGATGAGATAAAGCTATAGAGATTATTTGAGACCTTGCTTTTCATTGATGGAGGTCAGAAAATAAGCGTTATCAACGATTATCAATGGATGTGGTTAGGAGAAGAGGTCAGCTAGCTCATTATACATATATCTACCAAAATAATCATCCACAAAAATCAATTAGTGGATGACAATGCGATGAAACTCACCTGATCAAAAGGTCTGTAGCCGATATGGAACATGGTGTGCAGCAAAGGTTGACGTAAAACCATGGCTCTAGTTGGAACTACCTCTTCCGTCTGTTTGCCAAGACCCAATTGGTGATACAACCATTGGTCGTTGCATTTGATGAAGTGGTGAAGGATCTGGGGAATGCGAAACTTTATCAAACACGTTTGAATAAAATTGTGGAATGTGAGAGTAGGGCTTTCATCATGTACAGTCTCGCTCTTTGCGTAAATATAATGCTAACAGTCTACCCAGTTAACACATACTGCTTTCAAAGAATGGGGGACTTGTCGAGCCGACCTAAAAACATCTACCACTGTAGAAACAATATTTTGGAAGTTTGATTACTCGAATAGCTTAATTTTGGTGGAATCTGATTTTAGGAGTCAATTCAGCTTTTTGATTCAGGTTATTTAGAAGAAAAATAAGTATTGAATATCGTGTTGGTGCATCTGCGGTACGTCAATACTGAATTCTCAATACTTCCAATAGTGTCAGAATCACTGTATCAGTAAGTTTGAATCACGTTCGAACTTTGAATAAAGATCAAGAAACTCTTATGAGAAACGTGAAAACCTATAATAAACTGGATGTGAGGGTTCCAGAATTATCTGGTCTGGGACTAGGTACTCTCGACTCTTCGTAATTCGGTGATCAACATATAATATTGATATCATAGGTCATTAATATTATCGTTCTTCATTTATATTTCCTCACTTCTCATAATATCTCATGCTTTAAATAAATATTGTGATGTTCGAATAGTCTTGTGATTTCAGCTACCATTGTGTCTTATTATTTGAATAAAGGTATAATATTTTTATATTGTTGTATTCCGACATTTGTGATATGTACTTCTATCACCAGAAACTTTGACCAGTTTCCATCCAAGGCCAGCCGTGTAAGTATTAATTCATTGATTTATTTTCCCTATTGTTATTTTTTACTAGGACGACACTTATTATTACATATCGATATCGATCGACTGCGAGTTCTTAGTTTCCACACTCAACTCAAAGACACTTCCTTGGGTTATTCTCCATTTCAGAAAAGGTTGAAACTTCATTATCACATTTTCACGAAGTTATGTCTGGATCGATTTTTAGCACTCAAATGAAATTTTCCGTCGACCTCGTATTAACGACTAAGTTTAATGTATATGAAATCGTTCATTAATGACCCCTATTATTAAACGATTTGTCTATTAATGCACGATTGTTTTATAGGCAACCAAACATACACCGCGCATTCATTGTTCATGCTATAACTTACGGAATCTGCATTTGAATCGAAAATATGGATTTCATCGACGATTTTTCGTTAACCTTCGCCTTTCCAAGTTTCTGACACGATTTTAATCCCTGTTTTCTAACACAACGAATTTATTTCCTATGTTGATCATTTCGACAAATGTCAAATGTCACTAATGTCAGTAACAAGGCTACTGGGTGATTCTCAGCAGTTTCCGGATGGATGATGAATTCGCGAACCAAGTTTTCTTCATTGCAGGAGAAATGAGAAATGTAGTCAACGAAAAAATTTTGTAACCAACTTGTATATTAAAAGGCGATTAATACACTAGTTGGTTAAATAACTAATAATCCTACTTCTTACTGCAACGATCAAACTTCTTTACCGAAGAATGATAAATAATAGGGTTGTCCATAAATTAAATGATCTTTTAAAATATGTAACAAAAATATGACAAGTAATAAAATTGACGATGATATGACATATTTCAGAATGGAAGCAGGTAAATCTTCTCATAATCAGAACTGGAATTCACAAAAATTGAATTTTCTTCTGAATTACTTTTATTAGTGAGCTGAGTAGACTCCTACAATCAGATTCCATCGATAAAGCCATTTGAGTAATGAAATTTCCATAATGTTGCTTCAACATTGGTAGATGTTTTTTAGGTTAGGTTTAGGAGCGAAGTCCCCCATTGAGACTCTGTCATCAAATTCTAGATGCCTGAAATTTCAGATACTTTCTCTCATTTCGAGATTCCCATTATTGTGATGCCAATAATTGAAATTCGAAATGGATTGATTCGCTTTGTTACATTGTCAGTAATAGATGTGAGTCTCATGGTGTTCAGAAGGCTTCATAAATTCACCATCCTATATATTACTCTAACAACACAGAGATATCCTAGGGACATCCCTTATATGTTCCAAAGTGTACTGTTCGTACAAGATTGAAATTGGGACATCCATGTGATGTCCTGCTTATCATTTCTAGGGGATGACCCAACTTGTACATTCTTGAGTTATCTCATTCATGTCCCTGCATATTCATATATCCATTTCTGTCTGAATTGATATGCAACAACAATTATTCTCAATGAAGATGTATCTTTGTTATTTCCCACTGAGTGAATCATAAGCAAGTGATCATTATTTATTTTCATTTTTCATTCCGCTTACATCTCACCGACGCTCGTTACATAATTTCAAATACAAATATGAATTGAGGAATATACAACCGGCGGGACCAACGACCAAGTCACCACAGTGCAGTCACCAATAACTTTCATGAAAGATTCCAGCTGTATATGTTCCTTGAGAATTCCTTATGTTATTCGTCCCAGGAACATTCTTTATATCGATGCAAAAAGTCCCTGGAACTTACAAGAGATGTCCCTGGGATTCACTATCGAGGTAATGGAATGTATATGGCATATGGTATGATGTAGGTAGTGCCTGGTATATCCCTAGGACGTACTGAATGGGACGTCCGTGGTAAGTCGTTTTTGGAAGCCAAGGGACGCCCATAGACCGTCCATAAACCGTCTCTAGTACGGCTCGTGTCTTGACAGAAGCTGTCCCAGGAACATCCTTCTACTGAATGAGGGACGACCCTGGGATGTCCATAGGGTGTTCTCGTGTTGTTAGGGTACTATTATTATAATGAACCCAACAGGATAACGGATATTGCAAACGTAAAATGACAGATCTCATGGCAAAACCACTGATATTTTATTCAAATTTTGCAACGTACGGTAGTAGGAGAAATAGAATACCTAGCATCAATATGGAGTTTGCTAACATATACCGTAAGTCTACCAATCGCTGGCTCTCAGTCTATTATAAATGGAAGAAGACGATCGAGACACGATCGAGCGACACTTCTGAATTATATTTCAAAGTCACACATTATACTGTTTTATATTCGAACCTAAAAGACCCTTGTGATACCTAATTGAATAGAGCAATGTTTGGTTATATGAAAGTTCGGTGATAGAGAAAATCATAGATATGTAATGAAAACTCTAGAACACTCGGAATATCCAACCTTCAAGCTCCTTTTCCCTGTGTTCGACATGAGAATGTCGCTGGCGAGCACCTCGTACATCTTCTGATCGGACTCTACCCTCGAAGAGCCGCCATCTTGGCCATCCCTGCCTTTTTCTCTCCTGTGTGATTTCGAAACAATCTCGAGGAGCTCATCGATCTGATCGGTGTGTTTGTTGTCTTCGTCGATGCTGCAAAGGCATTCGGCCACTGCCAGAGACACGTCTTCGGGACGACTACAATAACAATAAATTAAAAGTTAAAAAAAAAACTTTTTAATAAAAAGATTTAATTTGAACGCTCTAAATAGGAGAAAATTGAATATTTCCTTATAATTTTAACTATCAACTTATAACCTCATTATACACAATTTATATGATCATAAAAGTTTGTCGCGCGATTCACTTGTGTGCATGAACTAGTACTTATTTGATTATGTAAAATCTGCTGAGATAAAATTTTCAAAATTACAATTCAATTATTGAATATTGATCATCGCGACAAGCTTTTATGATCATATAAATTGTGTATAATGAGGTTATAAGTTGAAATTATTAAGGAACATTTCATTTTCTTCTCTTTAAAGCGTTCAGATAGAAGCTTTTTATTAAAAAGTTTTTATTTTCTTTTAATTCATTTTTAAATTTTTAGTTATCGCTAGCTGGATTTTTCGATTTACTCTCAACGAGCCTTTTCATTTGATACCCATATTGTAGAAGTATATTGAAAATGACCATTCCGCCATCTTGGATGGTCCGCCATAATGGATTTAGAATGACGTCACATCATTTTTCGCGTTACTCTCGACGAGCCTTTTCATTTGATACCCATATTGTAGAAGTATATTGAAAATGACCATTACGCCATCTTGGATGGTCCGCCATATCGGATTTAGAATAACGTCACATCATTTTCCGAATTACTCTCAATGAGCCCTTTCATTTGATACTCATATTGTAGAAGTGAATTGAAAATGACCATTCCGCCATCTTGGATAGTCCGCCATATTCGATTTAGAATGACGTCACATCATTTTTCGAGTTACTCTCAACGAGCCTTTTCATTTGATATCCATATTGTGAAAGTATATCAAAAATAGCTATTCCGCCATCTTGGATAGTCTGCCATATTGGATTTAGAATAACATGACACACCTTGTCATCCAAACTGAACATGTATACAAAATTTCAGCTCAATTGGTTGAAGATTTCTACTTCAAAATTGAGTTCAAAGATTCCACCCGAACATATACATACATACATACATAAATAAAAGCTTTTTTTCTCTGACGGAAAAAAGTTTGGCATTTCATTTCTGTTGGCAGGTTATGAAATATCACTTTTCATGAATTACTTTTTTTCCGTGGGAAAAAAGTGAGTACTTTTTTCCTGGATATATATCACATGTTGATGGCTTTTGTTGTGCTATAGTTACGAGAAAGAACTGCAAGTCCTCTCATATTCCATTCGACTTCGCGGTTACCTATATTACTAAATTTTTTGAAATCAAATCACAAAATTAGACTGACAGAAAGTGACATCAGATATTTGATTACTTCAAAAGAATTTTAAAGATGCCTACAACGCAGGTGTCCCTACTGTTAAAAACTTAAAATTTCACGTCGATAATTTTCAGATTTCGAAATAATGTGATATCTTCTCAATATTGATTCGTCCTTTCTTCTGTCACAGAAAAAAAATAGTGCATTATACACGGGAAAAATATAAGATTTTAGACAACACAACCTGGAGCTAAAATCTACTACTTTTTTCCCTTGTATAATGAATAACTATTAATAATAATAGGGTTGATCCACATAGTCGAAATACAGTTTCAAATATGTTTCAAACTGTTGGTGCATTTTGCAAATAAAAAGTGACACCTAGTTTATGCATGGCTTGCATTTTGAAGTGATCAGCTCGTAGCATGATGACTTGAAAGGAGGTTCTAACCGAGCAGACAACAAATTTCTTGCTGCCTTCTGGTCCAGTACATGATAGATCGACAGATTGCTGGCCATGGCGAAGCTGCAGTGGGCAAACGTGGGCCCATTGTATGGCATATTATGATAGTTTGCCTATAATTCTGCCGGCACTGGGTCAATATTGTCAATCCATTTTATGTTTTCACCTACGTCATACAATCGTCTACCCATTATAATATGAAATTGTTTAGCAAGATTATAGTCGGCACCGTGCCAATAGATTATGAATATATTTCAGTTCCAATTGAAATATCTGATTTTGAGGACGACGAAATAGCGCAGTGATTGGGGCACTCGACTAGTAATCAAATGGAAAAGTTGAGAGGGTCGGATCTCCGGAAGAACAAAGAATTTTTAAATATAAGACGGGTTATAACTTTTGATTCCGTAGATGATTCCACACGATTCTCTGTTGCGTTCCAATCAACAGTGCTGCTCCCAAGGTGGCGTATGGAGTTAGTAACAAATCTTACACAGAACACTAATGAGCTGAAGGACCTCTCGTAAGGTCGATGGCCAGTTGGTATGTACATACATACATATCAACCAAGTACTACTACTCTACTGTTCATTCATTGCATTTTCAATAAAGTAAGTGAGTAAGTATATGTACTTCGTTGCCGCAATGAAGCCTATCCACAGCCCTGATCAGAAGTTTTACGGGTGATCCCTAAAAGAGTGCCAAACGAAAAATTAATTGAATAAAGAGACGATGACAGTAATCTAGAAAAATGAACATAGACAGTGTTTCATGCTTTTACTATCATGTACATGTTTTCATTCATATTATACATGTTTTCATCTTTGTTATGTTATAATAAGAGGACAAAGTTTTTATAATAAAGCCTTCTGTTCACCAAACTGTAAGAGTTCATTTCAGACCACCAATACTCTAATAGTAAGCTTTATTTTAATTTCCTTCAAACAATAATCTTCTGGCACAAGAAAATAAGGATCTTGTGAAAAAATATTTACTCTTTATATTGAGACATTATCTATTTGTAACATGCTCGAAATTCCCTAATTCAAGAACAAAATTTTTCAATGATGAGAGATTAACTTGACAATACATGAAGTTTTTCATTTGAAACTAATCGATTCTTGCTGCGACCAATACGTACTGTGATAATAAAGAAATATTCGTTCGAATCAAGATTTCATTTTATGAAAGAGTCAATAAAGTTCTGAAGAAAAATCAAAAAAATATCTGGTTGGACCTATTCATGCAAGAGCCATATGGTTGAATCAATGCTGTTCTGCATTGAAACAAGGAATCCAATTTATCTGTGTATATTGCATCATTATCGAATATATTTTCAAACTGATTGAGTGATCATCATTCAATCAGAAAAAAAAAGTTTCTGGGGTCATAAAAGTGAAGATGATGAGGTGAGAATAGAATATACCATACTGTATATACATACATATATTCTTTTGTAATTAAAAAAATCACAGATTTAGAAAAAAAATATGAAAAACAAAGTGTTCCATTTTGGAAAAATCTATTTGTGGTTCTGATGAGGGATGTGGAAAGGTATCATTGCGGCATTCAACTTCCGCATATTGCCTATTTTTTGCCCATAAGAAATAACGTATAAATACAAGTGGGCCTTCTCGATGTATAACCCTGTACATCAATATCACTTGCCCTGATGGACTCATGTAGTGTTGCTCAGCAACACAATTGAGTCAACAATGAAAGACAGAATTATGAGGAGATATTCTGACCAGGATGGTATTTTGCTAGACTATTTCATGTTCACGAAGCATACAAACAGGGCCTACTCGAGTAGGCCCTGATACAAAGCATATTCATTATAAATGAGCGATTCATTCCGACAACTACAGCTATGATTGTTCAATGCCAAAGTGACACACTTTGCTTCGCTACTCACGGTTGAGTCGTTGGAAACACCAACGCTGATTGACTATTTTATTTTATTTTATTTCATTTTATTTGTATGTAATCTTACAGAAATGAATCCAATAATCGATTACAATTATTTCCTTAAGACTAATCAGATTTCAGTGAGCAGAGAAACGTTATCTATAGTGGTAAATAAGAAAAGAAAAGTATATATCAAGTGATTCAGTTGTGAAAATGTGAAACGAATTTCACCTAACCCAAATACATAATGCCACAATACAGGCCTAGAATGTTTTAAGTTGTATGATGATATGCAGTAGATTATTAATTTGATTGACTTATATTATAATATGAAAATAGTCTTTGCTCAACAACATTGAACGTTTTTCGAAAGATGTCCAACTTTAATTCATTTACCAGTTTACAAATCCTATATACAGGAGCATTCAAACCAAGATTCGTTTTCGGTCTTGGCAGAAAAAATATGGGGATATCTCTATTAACATAGTGTGCTTGAGGACGAACTAACTTTCTTGAAATTACCGGGCAAATGGCTTGCCCATTAACTAATTTATGCAAGAATAGTACCGATGCTATTTCTCTTCTATGTTCTAATTTAATTAATTTAAACTCATTCAATAAAGTTTTATAGGGTATATCAAAATAATACACTTTGTGTTTTTTATAATTTAGGTACCTCAAAAATTTCTTTTGGACCTTCTCCAATTCGTTTTTATGACGCTCGTAAAAAGGAGACCATACTGCCGAAGCATATTCCAATATGCTTCTTACATAAGCATTATACAAGAAACACAATGTTTTTAAGTCATTGAATTTGCAAGAATTTCTTATTATAAATCCAAGTAGTTTGTACGCCCGTTTAGAGATATTATCTATATGTGTATTGAAGTTCAGTTCATTATCCAAATAAACACCCAAATCCATAGCTCCGTTCTTTTTTTGTAAGGCTGTGTCATTCAATTTGTATGTAAAGTCCACTATATTTTTCTTTCTAGTAAATGTTACGGAGAAACATTTTCCAACATTGAAGTATAGGTTATTATTTTCAGACCAAGACATTATTCTGTTAATATCATTTTGTAAGTTTACACAATCTGATTCATTGACGATTTTCGCATAAACCTTCAAATCGTCAGCGAATAATTGGCATTCAGAAGTTTCAAGAATATCCGGTAGGTCATTTATCATGCACAAGAAAAATATAGGCCCTAAGTTTGACCCTTGTGGTACTCCTGAATTTGTAAAATATTCACAAGATGTACCTCCTTTATATACCACATACTGTTGACGATCTTCGAGATATGATGCACAGAGTTTCAACAAATTATTAGAAAATCCCAATTCAGACAACTTACTGAGAATTA